TTTGTCCGTCTGTCTGTTAATGTGTTGTGTGCATGTACGTGTCCACACACTCTAATTCAAGGGTTGTGTTAGTAAAGCTCCATGGAGAGCAGGTGTAGATGTGTACTAATGTAAACTACTTCAGAGTGCCTTTGTCTAGACATTCGCTGTCTTCTTTAGATTTCACCATTTGAGCCCAGCCTTTGCAGTTAGGGGGACCAGATACCCATTAGAAAGGATCATCTTTCTAGGAAAACTTCTGCTCAGCGTGTTCAAAAAAACTTTTTGGCATAAAGTCATTTGTCCCGTTTTTCTGGACTTGGGAACAGCAGTAGGAAGCGTTCAGGCCTTCTCCCAAATATAATCCCGGACCTTCTGGAGGCTGAGAATCCTCTCTGCCCATGGCCTCCTGGGACTCTGGGTGGCCTGCCTGTCAGTCAGAGCCACCGAGCATCCCCACACTGGAGATGTGGGAAAGATGGTCTCTGTCCTTGAGGACTTAAGGTCTGGTGGGGGAGACAGAACAGATCCATGTGAAAGAGTCAGGCAGACAAATGTAACAAAAATAAACCAGATGCAAATCCATGCAGTAGTGAGAATCCAAGTGCAGACGGAATGTTGAACTCAAGGTCTAACATTAAGTCAAAGAGAACCAGAAGAAGTTGAATGTGAGGTGCTACATGAGCCATCAGAAAAGCCTTCCTGGAGGAGGTCACATCCACTCATTCACCGAATCTCATTAAGCACTGACAGTGGACGCTGCTACTGGTGAGCACAGCAGAACGGATGTCTGCCTTTTGGGGAACACAGTGCTGACTGTGCAGGGAGTCTGGGGTCAAGGAGATGTAGGGGCACTAGATAATGCACAGCACGAGGACCTAGCCTAGTGGGATGTCAGAGCAGGCCTCCTCGAGAAAGTGATGCTTTCATCAGATTCGTGAAGGCAGCGTGCCCCTGACTACAGAGGAGCCAGGATGAAGTACAAAGGAGGCCCCAGCCCTTGGCCTGCCCACCTTCTCTTTCCGTCGTGGCTCATATGCCTGTATGTGGACACCTCAGGCCTCAGGTTCAAACTCCATCCACACGCCACCCCCCTCACTGCCCCTGGGCGAGCCTTCAGGCCTAGAGTTTTGATCTACCATCAGGAGGAATGATCCAGATAAAAGGCCCTTGCAGGCCTGGAAGTGGGCTTAGGGCTGTTTGTACAGGGGACTTGGTATTCCAGAGTCTACAGGGGTGAATGATCTGGAAGTGGGTGCACAGCCAGTGGGCAGACATGTTCCCTCCAACTTACGGGCTTCTCACTCTGTGGAGAGGGGCACAGCTGGATGAGCCAGTGTGGGCCTTCTAAAACGTGGGGCCCAGGACAGGGATCCTGATTGTGGGGTCTAAGGGCAGTTGTGCCTAAAGGATAAGTACTTGTTGGCTAAATCAAAGGTGGGGTATGGGGGAAGCCTTCCTAGAAGGGACAACCAGTACAAGGTCCCTGGGATGGGAAGTAGCCTTGGTCACCTCCCTCAAAGCAGGGATGTGGGGGAGAGCTGAGGTGAGGTTGGAGAATGGACAGGGGCCTGGTGGGTCAAGGTAAGGTTCGGCTTTACACAGGACACGGGCAAGACGTGGTGGAGCAGGAGAAGGTCATTTTGTGGAGCAAGAACATTCCTTCTAAACTGAGCTTGTGTGATGCCAATTAGGTCTTTGATGTGAGAAGAGAGAGCAAGCTGTTCAGTTTGGCTAAGCCTAAGAGTCCTGAGAAAAGCGAGAGAAAGAAGAAAAAAACATTTGGGGAGGAGCAGTTGTGGTGGAGTTGTAGGCATGTACCAAGGGGTCAGGGTCATCAGGGTGAGCACAGAGCCTCTGGGAGGAACTCTGGAAGAACTCTGCTGGGGGCCAGAGTCTCTCTCTGCTCTGTGCTGACCATTGAAATAAGGCAAAATAATCTGCCACATCTAACACCTCTCCACCCTAGGGATGCTCCCATGACTGAGTCGTAGGACATTATATGTATGTGATTTTTGTGTTTTTCTATGTGATTTCGGTGTCCTGAAATTCTTTCTGGGTTGGCAACATATCCCATTTTCTACTTAGTAAATGTGACTGCCCTTTATGCTTCGGGCAACATTTTACAGTCATTGCTGAATCCTTGTTTCCTTTTTGTGTCTTTTATTTTCCATAATTAGTGATGACACTGATCGCTTAATGCCTGTGAAATTATGAATACGTTAAGCCGCAATAAGAATTGTCCCTGAAGTCGGTAAGCAGATGTTGCACTGTGTTTGTGTGTTTGTGTGTGTGTGTGTGTGTGTGTGTGTGTGTGTATGTGTGTGTGTTTATGATAACAGTGCTTACATGATCTCAACGACCGGGCCCTGGGGACTCACACTCCGAGATGGAACAGTTGGTTTAAATTAGGTTTCCATGTGAAATACGGTATCGCTATTTTTTTCCTAGCATTGTGGGAAAGTATATGGAAAATGATTTGACTGATAGGAAATAAATCTGGATGCATGATCAGGATTGAGGCACAAACCATGTGGTGATCTGTGCCTGCTCTGTGACGCAGGCCTCTCCAGGGGAAGATAAGTTAACCCTTTCAGGCCCCTGGTCTAATAAGTGTGGTGCCAGCATAGTCTGAAAGAACAGTGACTTTCCAGAGACACTGATTTGCCATCAATTTCACCAGGAAAGGAGCTAAAGACATAGGAATAATCTAGCCATAAGCTTCGAGGACTCATGCATTGGGTGTCTTTGACTTTTCAAGGTTTCATTTTTATTTGTAAAGAGATGGGTTTGAATTTCTAGCTCAAAGAGTCAATGATTTTATGATTCTAAGTGTTTGCTGATGATTTCCTACAGCAGCATAGGGCTCATCAAAGCAGATCACACTCAAGGAAGAATCGGACAGAAGCACTAATGATGCTCAGTCTCTATTGGTAAAATAATGTCTTGCTCTAGTGAGCCAGAGTTTCACAAAGGTGACTGTTAACTGGGTATCTGGGTGAGGGGACATGACATGGAGACACTGAGCAAGGAACTGCTCATAGCTGCAGGAGAGAGGCTGGCTCTGGGAATCCCAAGAGTTCCTGTGTGCTCAAAGCAGTCCCAGGAGATTGGAACTGATGGTTATCTTCTTCCCAAGAGGCTCTGAATTCCTTTCAGGGTGATCTGGACCAGGCTTGTCCTAGAGGTCTGAGTCCACATCTGCTCTCCTGGTATTGCATGAGGGCCCAGCGAAGTCCAGAGCAGGTAGAGAGCAGAGGTGCGTGCTCGGAGCCCACTGAGCTGGGGCTGGGCTCAGGGATGGCAGGTGGCCCATCACATTTTGCTTCAGCCAATTTCAGAAGGGAAGAGACAGATTATTACTGCAGTGCTCCTGGCTGGTGCCAGAGAAGAATGCTGTTTTATCACTGAAACTCCCTGTTGCTTGTATTTCCCTATTTGTTTCTGGGTGGGGAGAGGAAAGAGGTGTTCAGCATCAGTCTCTTCTGTTCTGCTTTTTTCATTTCTTTAATCATTTTTAGTACTCTTCTCGATATTGTCTCCTTTTATTCCAGCTCTGTCTTCAAACGTGCAGCTCTTATTGAGTGCTTAGAAGGACCTAACCAGTGCCAAGTTTAGAGAAACTGTCATCTTTCGTCAGATGAAAGAGCACCGGACTGGGAGTCCTAGTTTTGACATCCACAAGAATTGTGACCTTGGAAAGTCACTCTCCCATAAGCCATAGATTCTTGATCTGGAAAAAATGGGGTTGGACTGCCCTCTGCCAGGAATAAATGCCATTCATTCCTATCATTTTATTGATGGGGAGAGGAGGGGCAGTATGCATAGACCTTGAACTCTTTTCTTTCTGCATTTGTCATGGGTCACCACAAACTCTGCGTTCAGCCCTCACCCTCACTCAGGCCAGGGCAATGAGTTGCTCCCCAGGTTTCAGCACTGTTGTGAACCAAGTGCAGCTAATGGCCATGTGGGGTTAAGACCAAAGCTTTGGTTTGTTAACAACTGAGCTTATCACCCCAGAGATTAGCCAGGATAGAGAAAGTAACTTAAATGAACACTGGTGTCCAAATACCATAGTATAGGTAGCAGCAAAACAATCCGAGATGTTAAGCAGAGGATTTTGAGGCTGCAGATCACAAAGGGGTACTTTAGTAGTAGATTATTATTAAATATCATACTCCAGTCTGTGTGGTGGAAAAAACAAGTCACATTAGAATAAAGTTAAGCCTGGAGTGGGAGAACATTAGAGTTGGTATATACACATTTGGCATTTAGTAAGTGGTTAATAGTGCCACCTCTGGGGCACACACCTCAGTCCAAATTCACTCTTTACCACCTGTTTGTTGGGGACCTTGAGCAAGTCTCTTAGGCCTTCTGTGCCTCAGTTTCCTCATCTGTAAAATGAGGATAATAATAGTCCCTGATTCTTAGGATCGTTGTGAGACATAAATGAGTTAACTTATGTAAAGTGCTTAGAAGAGTTCCTGGCGTATAGTGCTATGTAAGTGTTTGTTCTTATTATTATTTAGTCATTTGAGAAGCATAATAGATAATGCATTTGTAAAAGATAGTTCAAAAATATATATATTTCTGTATTTTTTCATTTGATATTATGTATTGTACTACTTGATAAATGGTCTGTCATTTATGGGATAAGTGCATTGATCGCCTTTAATCTTGCTGTCCGTCAGTCAAATATATTTAAATCAATATTATTCTTAGGCCTTATTTTCTTATAGTCTCATGGAATTTTATAGATCAAGAGAGATTTTATGAATTGCCTTTCAGCCTCCTTATTTTAAAGATGAAGATGAAGAGTACAGAGAGGTTAAGTGACTTTCCCAGAATCCTATTGCAAAGCTGTGATGGAGCCAGAGCTTCACATTGGTCTCTTGGCTGGGTCCTTCACTTCCTAGTACTAAACTGATTTTTGAAAAGAGAAAAACCATTTTCTTATGAAATAATATGTATCAAGCTTCCAGGACATAGTTTCAGTGAATGCCTCCCTTTGCATTTTCCAGGTGAGCTCCTGGGTGACGTGGGTAATCCTCACAGCGGGCTCCATGGAGGAGAAGCGGGAAGTCTTCTCGTATTTGGTGCACGTGGCCAAATGCTGCTGGAACATGGGCAACTACAACGCCGTCATGGAGTTCTTGGCCGGCCTCCGGTATGGGCAGTGGGGAATATGGTTATCTGGGCACGGTTTCCTCTTACCAGCTGAATGGCACTGAATTAATTGCCCTGGTAACCACATTTACCTAAACCAGGCAATTGGTAGTGATTATTTGGGGGAAATATATTATCCTCTCTTAGCTCTGTCCCTCAAAGATGCTGCAGAATTCAGCCCCTGTGAGCCAGTCATGATCCTAATTAGCTGTGTCTGCTCTGAGCCCATGCTCTTGGCCAAGCTGAGTAAAATTACCTGGTTGCATGACTCCGTCAACCCCAATCCTGACCCCTCTCTTCCCCTCCTGCCCTGTAAATCGCACTGTTACCTCTCTCTTCCCAGCTCTACCTTAAGAATTGCCCCAGCACTGTAAGCTCCCAACCACCGACTGCCCTTAGGAATAACAGTGGCTAACACTGATAATAAGCATTCTCTAATGTTAGCTCTCATTTTTATTGAACACTTACTGTGTGTCAAGCATTGGGCTAAGCATGTTGCATGCATTAACTCTTTTAATTCTCAGAACAATATTTTGCAATAGATACTATTATTATAATCACATTATACAAAAGGAGAAACTAAAGTTAGGAGAAGTTAAGTCATTCACCAAAGGTCACCTGGCATGGGTAGGACATGAATGCAGGCAGCCTTGATTTCAGAGCCTGCCCTTCACCTCTGTGATATCCTGCTCTTATGCCTTCTCCATCAAGCTAATAATAAGGTCACCATTCTGTCAATAAAGTCTCCCGCCTTATTCCCTTTCAGCCTCGGTTACCTGGCATACAGTAACTGTCCTTCATGCTTGTGGGAGGCAATGTGGTGTGAGGAGGAAGAACATAAGTTGTTGAGTCAGAATAGCAGGGACTCAAATCCTGGCTCTCCCACAGAATAACTGTGTGATCTGGGAAAATTACTTGACCTCACTGAGCCCAGTTTCTTCATCTGTAGAATGAGGATAATAATAAAAAAGCGCCTATCTCTTTATGTAGGATTTAGTGAGATAATATAAAGTGTCTGGCGTATAGTAAGTCTTTATAATATAAGAGAACCTCTTACTGTTGTTGTTGTTGTCTGAGATTCACCTTCCCAATGAGGGTTCTCACTATAAATAGATCTTGCTTTGTAAAATTATCAAGTTTTTTCTTTGATTCTCCAGGTCCTACATAGGGATTCAGGATTGGGGGAGGAGAGGAAAATTCTCAGAGTTGGAAATTTTTTGTCCTTTTGAATTTTCTTAACTAAGAATAAACTCAAATGATCATGTTGTTAGCATTTAAAATGATCATAGAAATGTACCAGGTACCACTCAAAAAAAGGAAAAAATAGAAAAAATACTGGGAGAACAAGAGGCTATATCCAGATGATTTGATTCTCTTTGTGATAAATTTTCTATAAAGAACCTGTGTTACTTTTATTTTAAAAAAAAAAAGATCATATATGATAAAATAGTTCTATTTCAATGATGCTTATCCTTCTATGTTTGACTGGTAAGTTGGTGCTGGCTGTTGGCTGGGGACCTCACTTTCTCTCTTCTGTCCTCACAGCATGGTAGCTGGCTCCCTCCAAAGTGAACAATCCAAGAGAGCAAGGCAGAAGCTGCAGTGCCTTTATGTCCTGGCCTCAGAAGTCACACGCTGTCACTTATGGCATATTGTACTGGTCACATAGGACCAGCACTGGTTCATTGTGGGTAGGGACTGTACTGCACTAGGAAGTGTGGATCCTTGGGGGCCATCTTGGAGGCTGGCTGCCACATACCATGTATTAGATTCTCTTGATACAAGAATGGCCTCAGAATGACCCATGGAGACCTTGGGTGAATGTGACTTTCAAACCCAACTTAGTTTGGATACAAAATCCAAGAAGACCATAGAGCCAGGTGATTCTCTCTTAGAAGAGGAATAACCTCAAACCGGGCTAAACCTCACCACTGATTCCTGTACATTTTGTCTTAGACCCTAGACCCACTGCCGCCTATTCATGCTTCTATATTTGGCTTAAAACTGAACTGATCTTTACAAATATATGGGTAAAAATACCAAGTTTAATAGCTCTTTTGCTGGAACAATATATACAGAAGATAAGTTGCTAGATGTTCTTATGATGGAATGATTGTGGAGGCAGAGCTTGTGTGTGCAGTTTCAGGCCTGAAAATATTTGGATTACAAGTAATTTAACTACATCAAGATAACTAAAGTTTTTTATTTTTTTAAGCTATTAGATGGGAAGGGGGAGCAACCTTACTATTAAATGACTTTGGTTTTCTATAGACATTGTACATTTTGCTTCCTCAAACTAAATTCTCAACTGTTTAAAGGAAACAATTAGAAATATGAAGATTTATAGATAACAATATTTACTTGTCAACTTAAAAAGTAAATTGGCCAGTTGTTTTACCCACACAACAAGTTTATTTGGCATTAGCCAAAAGAATTGCAATTCGGGAAATATGGGAAACAAAGGAAGGGGCTTGCTTTTATAGAGGAGAAGGGGGAGTAGGGAGGGACTGTTCTAAACAAAAGTTCATTGGAGGAAAGTAAGAGTTCAGGGTGGTGACAGCTTCTCATTGGCTTAGCTGTGGTGCTTCTTGTTGGCTGGGCTGTTGCTGGGCAGGGAGAGACATCTTCCTTCCTCCTGCTGTATAGTAAAGCAGTAAACACCTTCCTGTCTGAGATGCAAGCTACATCTCTTCCTGTTTGGAGTAATTGATGATGGATCATAGGACATGAGAGATAGGCCTTCCTGTCTCCAATTTAGTTGAAGTTTCCTTTATTCATTTCACACAATCATGGTGTCAATGTAAAATAATCCAAATGAAGAACAATACAGGGCCGGCCCTGTGGCTTAGCGGTTAAGTGCGTGCACTCTGCTGCTGGCGGCCCGGGTTCGGATCCCGGGCGCGCACCGACGCACCGCTTCTCCGGCCATGCTGAGGCCGCGTCCCACAAACAGCAACTAGAAGGATGTGCAGCTGTGACATACAACTATCTACTGGGGCTTTGGGGAGAAAAAGGAGGAGGATTGGCAATAGATGTTAGCTCAGAGCCGGTCTTCCTCAGCAAAAATAGGAGGATTAGCATGGATGTTAGCTCAGGGCTGATCTTCCTCACAAAAAAGAAAAAAGAGCAATAGAAAAATGAAGAAAATAATATGATGAATTCATACAATGGAATACTATTTAGCCACCCAAAATGATGTTTATGAAAAAATTTTAATACCATTGGAAAATAAGTAACATACAATGCATAAAAACATCTGGGAACAAAGCTGTCAATACTTAATAACCTCTGCAATATTTATACAGCAATATTTATAAAATACTTATATCAGACAGATGCAAATAGAATACTGAAAGAAGCTATACCTAATGTTACCTGTGAATGGTAGAACTGTAGGTGGATTTTCTATATTTTTGGTATTTTCCATATTTTCTACAATGAGCATCTAGTAACTTTATAATCATAAAAAGAAACAAAAGTTTTTTTTGTTTTTTTGTTTTTTTTGTGAGGAAGATCAGCCCTGAGCTAACATCTATGCCAATCCTCTTTTTGCTGAGGAAGACCGGCCCTGAGCTAACATCTATTGCCAGTCCTCCTCCTTTTTTTCCCCAAAGCCCCAGTAGATAGTTGTATGTCATAGTTGCACATCCTTCTAGTTGCTGTATGTGGGACGCGGCCTCAGCATGGCTGGACAAGCAGTACGTTGGTGCGCGCCCGGGATCCGAACCCGGGCCGCCAGTAGCGGAGCATGCGCACTTAACCGCTAAGCCACAGGGCCGGCCCCTAAAAGTTTTAAAATAGTGTCAATTCTCAATCTAACAAAAAATTATTGATCTTTGCTAAGGTTTGTCTTTTGCCCCCAAACATACCTTGACTACTCCATTACTCACGGAAAGAAGGATGGTTAAATAATGAGAACCATGTCTCATTTATTTATCCACTTTATTTATTTATACCTCCATTTCATGCCCAAAAAAGGATTCTCACCACCTTATAAGAAACCAGTTGTAGGACGAGCTGGACTTAGTGGGGTGAAATCGGGAAACAACTTTATTTTTCTGACCTCACTGTCTTTCAGACGTGCTTGATGGGATCTTCCTCTCCTGACTCTGGATTACACCTTGGGAGATCTTATAGCTTTCCCAGTCAGTTGTGTGGTTACTAAGCTGTCTCAGTTCATGAGCGTGAATGAATCTCAGAAACATATGGCTGTGCGAAAAAGCAGGTTGCCTAAAAGTAGCTACAGTGTGACACCATTTACATACAGTTTAACACAAACAATTCTATAAACTGCTTCACGATATATACACATGTTGGGAAAGTGTAAAGAATTATAAGAGAATGAGAACCCTGAAGTCACAGTGTGGTCCCCTATAGTGAAGGGGGGGAGGAATATGTGCCCACGGAGGAGTCCACTGGGGCCTCAACCATATTATTAGTGTTTTATTTTTTTAAACTGAGAGGTTGGGGCATGCATGTTTGTCATGTTGTACTTCTTTATGTCTTTTGGATATCTTATATATTACATGATGGTTTTTTAATCCAGTCTGATCTAAATCAAAATTTCAACCTCTCATTTAATTTAAAGCTTCTCCCTTTCCCCACATTTCACAGCCCAGCTAGTCTCAGAAACCTGCAGTAGGGTGGGAAGATATGGTTTATCTTTTCTCTCTCTCTCCTTCCAACTCAAGGTCCCTGCGGAAAAAGTGGGCAGGAGAGGAGAGGGGAAGGGATGAAGGGTAAGGGGAACAAAGGTCTTACTTGGCTGGGACAGTTGTTATCTGGCCTAGGTGCTCCCACAGAGAGCAATGTGGGGTGCTTTTAGGGTTTCTTCCTAGTTACTCCTCCTAACTTCCCCCACCCCCTGTCCTATGGGTACCTCCCACTGCACCATTACCTGACAAGAGGCAGTGCACCCTCAATCCTCAGGATGCAGCTCTGTAAGTGCTGCCCTCACAGACACTTTCCGCTAGGGTCATCTCATTTGGCAGGCAGGCCTTTCAAGATAGCTCAGGTCCAGCTGCCTCTCACAGTGTCCACTCCTGACTCACAGGAAGCACTCAGCGCTTTGCCCTCCCAGACTCTGCAAATGCAAAACACACCCACTGGAACCTTCTCCCTCACATTGCTTTCTGGCAGCTCCTGGTGGCCTCTCATCTTTAGACTTTCCTAGGCAAGAGTCACACACCAGTCTATGTGGTTAACAAACTGCCCAGGACACAGGTCAACCTCTCCATGGAATTCACTTGAAGGCCCTGCACTTGGGGTAGATTTCCTCCTTCTCACATACAGCGCTCTGACATCTCTCTCCAAAGAAACATTCCCTAGCTGGCTCTCAGATCCAGTTCCTCTGCATGGGCTGATGGAGGGTTAGAGACCAGTGAGGGCAGAGCAGTTAGGGTACCCCTTGTGATGACCTGGTGCCTATCTTTAGAAGATGGATTACAATGTCACCTGTTGTTCTCAGCAGCAATTTCAAAATAGGAAAAGTCCATTTAACATCTTGTTATGCAAATAATACTTTAAGATAATGTCCCTCACGGGCCAGTGGCTTATTGTCAAAGCTGGATTCAGTAAAAATAATTCTACAAAAGAGGCCAAAACAGGCTTCATGTGTATCACTGAGGGACTGGCCTAATCCAAGGATAATACTTAAAAGATCAAGAGGAATGGATGGACCATGTTTCTGCAGGCAATCCTCCATAAATATTTGTATAAACCATATTATCTATTATTTTCCCTTTTGGCTATAGCTGCAAGAAAAGCTTAAACCTAAGTTCATTGCCCACCTTCCAAAATTAACTCCTTCCACATGTGTTTTTGTTTCTATCTGTCGTATTTAATTTTGTGTTTCAATTTATAAAAGTAATAATCACATCATTTGGGGAAGTGGGTGGAAATATGATTCCTAAATAAATATAAGAAAACTTAGACAAAAAAGAATGAATTTGTATGGAATTTATGCCATTTACTGTAAACTATATTATTTCTCCTTTGGTCTAAAAAAATGTCATTTACTTGCAATAGGTCGAGAAAAGTTTTAAAAATGTGGCAGTTTATGGACCAGTCTGACCTGGAGACCATGAGGAGCCTGAAGGATGCCATGGCTCAGCACGAATCTTCCTGTGAGTACAGGAAGGTGGTGACGCGGGCGCTGCACATCCCTGGCTGTAAGGTGGTTCCGTTCTGTGGGGTGTTTCTGAAGGAGCTCTGTGAAGCACTGGACGGAGCCTCCGGCCTCATGAAGCTTTGCCCGAGGTACAATTCCCAAGAAGAAACTCTAGAGGTGAGGCCTTTCAAAATCCTTATGATCTGAAGAGTCATTGTTGCCCCCAGGCTCATCACTCACTAAAGTGAGAAGAGAGAACTTACTGAACCCAAGGTTATCAGTTGTTACTGTTGTGTTGGATAACAGTTAGTCAAAAGTTCCAGAGAAAAGAATGCCAACTAGCACTGTTTGGGGCTTAACATTGTTAAGTTAGCTTTAATAGGACAACGTGTAAATACAAGTGGAAATGGGTGTTGTTTTCCAATTTTTTTTTAAAGGTTGATGGGGTTTTCTTCTCTCTTATTGGATGGGAATGTCTGGATTCAGGGGATAAGAGAAGTCCAGCAAGAGTTATTAACTTTTCTGAATCAACGGAATAAAGAATGGGGGGAAGTCAACGCTGCCTTCCTTTCATCCTTACTGAGAGGATGCTAGAGAAGCTGGTGCCTCATCTAAAGATGAGCTCCAGGCTCCTGATCACAGCTGCCTCAGTCTTCCCAGGCCCATTGCTTCTTGTTAATGACTTCCTCAGTGGAGAGGACCATGTGAGCTTTGACTCAGGGCTTGGGCATTGGAGAGAAGGGGCAGTGAGAAACTGGATCTAGAAGATAAACACCTATATGGTGTTTAGAAATGAAAGAAGGGACAAAAATGTGGGGAGCTTTATGGGGAGTTTTGAAGAGTCCCACACCTGGAAGTCCCAAACCCAAATCTAGAGTCATTCTCACCATGGTAGCAACACCAACTACTGACCTTACAGACACACACACACACACACACACATATGCTCTCACACTCACATGCACCCCTTCTCGGTGGCAGTGGGAAGACTCTTCCTAAAACTTCAGTCTCTTCTGGGTCACCTGGGAGCAAAGGTGTCGCCTGGTGGCAGGGAGACTTAAGAGCCCATGACAGGTACAGGCAACATTACTGGCTTGCATCTCTCTGGCTTATGAGAGGGATAAAAGGGCAAGAAATGCAGGAGAAGGCTTAAAGGAAGCCCCCCAGGCTGTACCCACACCGGCCCCTCATGTCTTGAGAGGAGGGAACGCCACATCTTGCACCCAGCTGCAGCTCTTGCCTCTGGTGGAAGAAAATTCCTGACCACGAGTACAGACAATCAGAGCTCAAAAAACCACCAGGAAGCCACTGTGTCACTGTAGGATATATGGGAAATAAGGCAAAACGTCACCCTTTCTCAATGTTTTCCTTGGGCCCCGGTAATTTTACCCGGTTCCATAGAATAATAGACTTTTGTCATGGTTTTTCTCAATTCTCACTGAGAGGATAAAATAACCCTGCCCTTCCTCTGTAAAGTGGCTAATCTTCTCCCTAGGGGACCTTGAAATAATATTGCTTTTTGTGTTGTAAATTCGAAGTGGAGTGTTGATTCCTAGAGGGACTAAAGTTGTCTTAGTGGAAACAAGAGTGAGTTCTGATATTCCGTGTGGTGAAACAAAAAAATGTTTTTCCTGGAGTTCTTTTTTTCTTTGCAGTAAAATAGGCACAAATGCCATTATTTATGACTATTATGATTTCATTTCCCTAGCCAAGTAGGTTATTTGGATGTAGTATGTGAAGTTGTAATAACAAATTCTCAATATATTTTTCTGTAGTTTGTAGCCGATTACAGTGGACAAGATAATTTCTTACAACGTGTGGGACAAAATGGCTTAAAGAATTCAGAGAAGGAGTCTACTGTCAACAGCATCTTTCAGATCATCAGGAGCTGCAGTCGAAGTCTGGAGACCGAGGAGGAGGACAGCCCCAGTGAAGGGAGCAGCTCTAGGAGAAATTCCTTGAAGGATAAAGCCAGATGGCAGTAAGTTTTACATTTAAAAGTATGGATGCTTATTTCTTCTTTCTGTTATTTCTTTAAAAAAAATAAGGAAGAAAGAAAAGAAAATTAGAGCTATCCTGCCATTTCTAAAACTTCAACAAATTAAATTGCAGGATCAGACCATGATATTTTATTTATTTCATAACTTCTGTAAAAATTGTTTTTATTAATCACTGGGTAGGGCACAGGGACAAGTACTAAAATATTTTTAAATCACATATACTGATTTAGTTGGGCTGGAGTGATACCCAGAAATCAGTATTTTTGGCAGCTCCCGCCAACATCTGGGTGATTCTAAGACAGGTGGTTCAAGGATCTCACTTCAGAAACATGGCTCTGGGCCGGCCCCGTGGCTTAGCGGTTAAGTGCACGTGCTCCGCTACTGGTGGCCCGGGTTCAGATCCTGGGCGCGCACCGACGCACCGCTTGTCCAGCCATGCTGAGGCGGTGTCCCACATACAGCAACTAGAAGGATGTGCAACTGTGACATACAACTATCTACTGGGGCTGTGGGGGAAAAAAAAGTAGGATTGGCAATAGATGTTAGCTCAGGGCTGGTCTTCCTCAGCAAAAAGAGGAGGATTAGCACAGATGTTAGCTCAGGGCTGATCTTCCTCACAAAAAAAAAAAAAGGAAAGAAAAAGAAACATGGATCTATGAGGTGGCATCTGCAGCTTTGTAAGTGTTCAGTTGTTCCAGTTGCTGTTTTATCAGCAGACATTGCAGTCTAGCCAGACAGGCTTACCCACAACCAAATGAGAAGTTCAGAAATCAGTGGTCTTGGGGCATGCATTGCATCTCTTCAAGGTCACTTACTCATGGTCAAGCCTAACTCAAATGGCAGAGCCTGGCCCAGCTGGAAGAATCCTTTGGTGCCATCCAGAGCTGTTAGGTCTACTGGCTTTGACATCTTTGCCACGAATGGTTTTATCTGTAGTCAGTATTCCTGAGTGATACCTTGCAGTTGTCTTGTAGTGCTTATACACATGTGTGTGCATTTGTAAGACATTGCTATTTGTTTTGCAAAGCCTTTCCCAATTGTCTCTGTGTGTGTGTGAGCCTACCCTGGGAAGGGTGACAGTGTTTTCAGAAAATAATTTCTTTGGAATTATAGTGCTAGATTCTAAGAATCGTTGTGAACACAGAAATGAACACCTTATGTCTGAATCCCTAAAGCTGTTATGTTTTAAGGAGGTAAACGTATTTTCCAGGTTTCTCCAAAGTCTTTTGGCTTTCTTCCAAACCTCACTTCCTCACTTATTCCCCATACAGGACACAGGTGCTCAAAGATTAACTGTTACTACCCTCACCACAGTGTCTTGGCCCTAAAGCTCAAATGTCTCAGAAGTGACTTCTACAATTGGTGTTTTTTTTATTTTAAGTTTATCTCAAATCAAAGATTATTTGAAAGTTTCCTCACTAGCAGTTTGCTGACATTAGTGGCAATCCATATAAGAGAGAGAGGATCATCTACAAATAAGCTCATGTCTACACAAGAAGCCTCTCATAACCATTTAAATCTTTAATCTATATCTACCTCTATCTACCTATCTGTATATATAGGTATCTATGTATATATCTACCTCCTTCCACAAAAGATCTTGTAGATGCTTATAAGAATAAATATAAATAATTGAGGATATTAAGGAAAAAGGCAAATAGGATAGGAAAAAATAAAACATACTGAAGTGTATACTATACAGTCTTTACAGTGATCATATTTTGTTGTGAGAATTCTTAGTGGCCAAAGGAAAGAGGGAGTCATGATTCATTACAAATTTCACAGTATTTGTAAGAAAAGTCAGACAAATGTTTGGGAGAAGCATACCTTTTCTGTATACTGAGATCTGGCCAAATTCCTTTCTTAAATCCTACTATAAGGGATACATCACCCCTGAAGAGATAAAATAATGAATTTCATATGGCTCTTTTTTATAACAACCTTCACTTGAGGCCGTGTGTGTGTGTGTGTGTGTGTTTGTGTGTGTGTGTGTGTGTGTATGGAAGTGTTACTTAAAGATGTCAGCCTTTCTAAAATGCTTTTAGGAGTGCTACCTTTAATTGAGCCTCAGAGACCTAGCCTCTGAGCTTTCCCTATACCGTCCTTTCCTTTTGCCTGGGGTTCCTTCAAGTGATAACATTTCTTCCCTCATTCCATCACCTCTCATGAAATTTTTATTCCCAATCTTCCGCTTATTCCCATGTCCCCTTCCTAGTCTTTTTATCATCGACATCCTAAGAACATTTCTCTTCCACTTCCATTTTCCAGTTCCTGCTTGTAAGCACTCTTAGAAGGGAAAAAAGCACAAGAATGCAAATATTTCTTTTACGAACCTGTAAAGTCATATTGAAATCCTCGCACTGAAACCTGTGTACCTCAGTTCCAGTAATACTTTCCTTACCCCAAGTGACAGCTCCTCTGGAAAGAACCACTGAACACAGAAGATGGGGTGAGATGTTTAATAGAATCCACTGCCACCAGATCAGCAAGCACTGTTTCCAAGACTATCTGCCAGGACTTGGGATCTGTTCCTGACCCAGAGCCCCACGTTTAAATATCCAGCGCAGGGTTGTGTGTGGCAAGGGGATTTCCAGATCCCAAAACCCATAGGAACCATGCTTTGTTGTTGAAATGGCTAAAACAAAGACTCTGTAAACAATAACCTCCAGCCCCTGTTCCTGTGGCAGCCACCAAGCCTGTGAAAATTACATCAAAGAAAGAAAGGACAATCTCGTGGTCCTTTGGTTCACCCAGCCTGCAGGGCCCTCTTATATTTTTTCTCAAACCTTTCAGCTGCTCCTGCCAAAAAACCCATTCAAAGCAGCCCAGAAAAGTGACCATAAAAAGTTCAACATCTCCACAGGAGAGAAACAGGGTTGAGAGAGTCTCAAAATGTCCGCGGGATCTTAAGGCCATCTCGTCCCGCTTCCCCGGTACAGATGAAGAAGTGATACCTGGAGATGGGAAGTCACTTCCCTAAGTGACGCCCAGCAGAGCTGGGGCGTGAGCCTGACCACGCGTTCACCTGCAGGGCAGGGTCTTTTCTCCTGCAACGTTTAAGGCATTTTTTGTCCCTGTAGAGGAGCTGACTCAGCTTCTTTTTATTTCTAGTACCTGTAGATTAGGAACATCTGAATTCTAAAGGGACTCTAATTACATTTCATATGACCTATAAAGCTCATTAATAATGACTTTTTAAATTTAACAGCATGAAGAATAAATAAGCTTTGCCTGTGTGAGTATGTGTAAGTCGTGGAGGCGTAAGCGTAGCATATGACACTATGGTTGGAAAATGGAAATTAAGAATATTAAGATACGTAGAGAAGAGTGTTGGGTCATATAGGAACTGCAAGTTTTTATTTTCAACACTGTTGACCCTCTTTAAGATGCTGCAGCATAAGAAGGATTTGTACATTTGGAGAAATCAGATATAAGTAGATAATGAGTGCAGACAGAACCTTGGAATGGAGGCTGCTTGAACCAGCTAAGAGCTCAGACCTTGCAGTCACATTGCCTGGGACTGAATCTTGCCACCACCACTTACTATTTGTGTCACCTGGGTAGGTGACTTAATTTTGCTAAGCTTCGGTTTTGTCATCTGTAAAATGAGAATGATCATAATGCTTTATAGGGTTGTTGTGAGGATTATGTGAGATGATGCATGTAAAATAACCAATTTTACATTGTAAATGCCATATAAATGGGGCAGTTGTAATTAACGTCTGACATCACACCCTGCAAATGCTCAGCTGAGGCATCTGGGGGCTTGAGCACAAAGATGTGGGCACGCTTGGCAGCAGTCATCATTTTAGGAGCACCCCTCAGTCACACTCCCCTTCTGTACTGGAGAGAGCTGTTGTCTGTGCCCTCCTACCCCAACAACCTCCTTAGAGACGTGCCTGGACGATAATCCAACCCCACAAGGATAGAAAATAAAAAAGCTATGCATAAGAAAGTAGCATATCCAAGAAAAGATGATAGTTACCAGGATTTGCCACACACACATGCATGCACGTGCACACAAAAATAATAAAATGATAGGAAACCAACCAGTTATTCTCCAGAGACGATGGTGCAGACAAGTCCCAACCTTACAGAAACCCACCTCAGGTACAGCTGATTGCTTCAGCCCACCCCAGACCTTAACATGGTCTCCACTCCCCCCAGCATTACTGGGGTTACCTGGGACTGGGGATACCTGGGACCCTCTATTTCTCTCTCTTCCTGTCTCCTTAGCCAGCACAGAAGACCCAGTCCAGCTTCTGTGACCTGTAACAAAGAAAGCCATTTTCCCACTATCTGTACAACATTCAGTTTAAGCTTGTTTATGGCTTGAATCCAGACCTGAAACTTGGACACCATTTCCACAAAGAACCAATGTTTGTTTGGGCGGCTATATTCTAGAATATTGACTTTGCAAATACAAGTCAGACAATAATGATATTAGTAATATTTGGCATGCTATTATTTATTAAGAGCCTACTTTTTAACAAACACTGTCCTAAATACTTTACATATATTATATGATTTAATCCTCACAACACTTCCGTTTTATACAGGATCTCACAGGTTGCAGGGCCAAGATTTAACCTCAGGCAGGCCGGCTCCAACATCCACACACTACCTAGACGTAATTTAGAAGCTGCCTGTAGTTGAGGAAGGTGCTAGGTTAATTGAAAGCAAGAATTTGCCAGAAGTGAGCTTAAAATTCTAAATTTTATTACAGGGAACAGCTGTAGCTAGTTCTTTGCAAAAGGTGTACATTTCCTTCTATCTTACAAAATTAAATTTAGGCTTGTTTATCACTTGATGAATCGTGTTCATGTAATCATATTAAATTTGTAGGAAGTAATGAACTGTTTATTAAGAAAACATATAACCAAGTTGACAAATAGCCCCCTTATTCCCTAATATAAGATTTTCATCATAGAACATTAGAAAACTGTTTATCTGTCTATTTATGGTTTCTAACTAAAGGATGCTGCGGAACGTTTTCAGGGGTTGGATACAAACCTTCCTCTTTTCTTCTTGGTCCTCTCCTTAAAGCGTATGACCTAAGTTTGACAAGGTAGTTGCTTTGATGGCAAACTACATGTTTGATCTTTGGTTAATGTTATTTGGTTTCTAAGTAACCCTTTAAATTTCACCGTATTCCTTCTTGTAAACCCATAGAAATTTGTCTCCTGAGAGAATCAAGCACAAAAGTGCATAAAATTCACTATATGATCTAAGAGACAAAGCTATTAGTTTCTTTCTTGAGATAAACTTATTTCATTACAAAAATTGTCAATTTTATCTTGGGCATTAGTCCCTGGAAGAATGCTTTTTAATGGAGTTATTTATACCTAGCATTAGTTCTTTCTGTGTTCTAAAATAGAAACTGATACTAAGAAAGACAGTGTCCCCTCTGTCCCAGCTTACATCATCTCGGAGCAGCAGAAATGGGCTCCAGAAAAGCCTCATAATTTTTCTTTGCAGACACTATTTTTCATAATGCCTATAGTTTTTCACTGGAAAATACTTAATTTAGCTCAGAACTCAAATTAAATGGAATATCGGCAACACCATTTCTCTTGCTAAATTAAAATCAGAAATGCTATGTCCAAGTTAACATTGGACAAACTATATTTCAGGCATACTGACACTTACCAATTGATTCTTTTTTGCTCTTAAAACCACAACTAGTGTGACATGGAGTATGTGGAAATGGTCCCAGAGAAAGGAAATAAAAAGATTAAAGGGCTTGGATGTGGCCCTGAAGAAAACCCCTCCAGAGGAACAGCTGGGCTGGTGAAGCCTAGGGAAATGGAAGTGGGGAAGGAAAAGTGGCAGGGATGAAACCTCGGTCTTCCTATATTTAATTATAGTCATTTACTTTCCTGAGTCAGGTGCTGTGCTGAGTGCTTTACAAGTATTATCTTATTTAAGCACCACCATTACACCAAAAGAAATGGGTATTGTTTTTTTTCCATTAACGAATGGTAAGGTGAGGCTCAGGAGGTTGAGTGATTTGACTACGTCACGCAGCAAAGAGGTAGTGGAACTGAATATTAAACCCAGGGTGACTCTAGAAGGCACATTCCTAACTACCATGCTAATGTATAAAGCATGGACAGAAGTATTATATAAGAGGACATAAGTGTTCATTTTCCACTGTTACTGGGAGTAATTTCAGAGGGATGGAGCTAAATTAGACACAAAGGATTTTCTTTCTTTTTCTTTCTTTCTACACCTCTTATGGTGAAATGCAATTTTAAGAAAAGTGTATAAAACAGAATGTTATTGCACATAGCACCCAGATCTTGATTTCTAATAACATTCTTCAATAAAAGAAAGCAAAGCTCCTTGGAGAAATAGCTGATTCCAAAACTGGAGCAGGAAATACATAAGATGAGCATGGAGCATCTTGTGCCAGAAATTAAAGAAGTGCTTAAAAAAAAAAACCCTGGGGCATGCCTGGTGGCACAAGCGAGTAAGTGCGGCAGCCCAGGGTT